CTAATATTGTTTAGCGGACTAGTAATCACATATATTAGCATATTTTATATATGTTATGATTGTTAAAATGCTAATAAACCTTATAAATTTTATCCAAGTCAAGTTGTTCTACTTAACTTCACATTTATGTATATATTTATTTGTTATTAGAATTACCACTGACATTATAAATTCGACAGGCATAAAATGCTCAAAAAACTACCTGACCATCACATTTGCGATATTAGCAATGTGAACAACAGGTGCATGAGTATAAGAATAAAACACTTGATATGCATCAATTGTAACAATTTCACTATTCTATGGTATACTATTTACATTACTAGTATTTATTGCCTCTCTATCCTCACCTTGGCTACTATCACTATTACTAGAACTTAAAATATCTGTTTCAATATCATTTGTTTCTTCTGGCTCTTCATTTGTATTTTGATATTACCTGCACTAGTCATGGAAAAATTTACAAATTTTATATAGCCCGCTGCGACTTCAAATTCTTGTTCTGGTTTTGCTTCAAAAAAAATTACCTAACAGTTTGTACCCGATACTGCTCGTAAAATTGTTGCATAAAGTCACTTGTTCTTCTATAATTCTTCTAAAAGTGAACACACAACATTTTTGCCCACAACAGGACCCAAAATAGAAATCTTGGCACCTTCTTTAATTTTTGGTGAAATTCGTCCTATTTCAAGATAGAAAAAAGAGAAGAAAAAAAGAACTTTGCTTATACTCATATATATATGATACTAACCAGCACCTATACTTATTTTTATTTTAATCAACTGGTGTATCGAGAACCCAGAGGTACCTAATTTATGAACACAAAGAAGTTTACGGCCAAAAAATACTCTAAGTTTTTTTTCAAATTATTAAGTGCCAACCTGTTTCAACTTATTTTAAGCAATCATTTTATATTCTTAATAATCAATTGATAATATCATATACACAAATCAGGCATGTAGTACCCACATACTTTATATTCTAACCTTTTTTTATATTTATAGATTTACTCAATTTGACTATCTTCACAATCTATCATCTGATATTAATTCATTATAATCAGCATATGATTTTGCACCACGTGCAACTCCGATGGTCTATAAGATTTGTTATAAAAGCTCCCTAATATAAGTAAGTAGTTTATTGATTTTGAATAGTTATTTTTTTTAATTGGCCAAAATTTCAATTTATTTCCTGTACTAAATCTAGTACAAAATACTAAATCTAGTATAGGTAAATCCAATCCATTAATATAAATAAGAATTTATTTATATATTATACTAGTGCAATATTTTTATTTATTGCTAACCAATCAAATTTCAGAATCAGATGTAATATAAAAAATACAAAAAACTGTAATTTTTTGAAAAATTACCAATACCTTAAAATTTTGCATAGAAAATAGCCCTTCATATTTTAACAAAAAAAATTTCTTGCAAAATTTTGATATAAACTATATCTCATTTTAACTCAAAACTTAACTTGTACTAACTTTAATTAAAACCAAGTAAACCATTTTATTTTTTTATTGTTTTGATTTTATGTTATATTTGTTTTTATAAAATATAATATATAATTGTATTGCATAGTATGATATATATATTTTTTTATAAATAATATATATTAAAAAATAAATATATAATTTATTAAATAATATATATTAAAAAATAAATATATAATTTATTAAATTTAGAGAATTATTATTTTCACCATAGTTTTTTGTTATTTTTACTATGGGTTATACAAAAAATATAAAAAATTCTATTTTTAACAATCAATTAAATTTAAAAAATTGATTTTTTTAAAATTAAAGAAAATTTTATTAAGTTAAGATTTGTCAGACTTCTAAGTAAAGCTGTAAAGAAGACTTTTTTGGTTCTAATAGTAGTTAGATTATCAAAATCAGCTTGGTGGTTCCCAAGATAATTAGGGTTAAAGATACAAATATAAAGAAAATTAATTTGTTTAAAATTAAAGAAAATTTTATTAAGTTAGGATTTGTTAAACTTCTAAATAAAGTTGTAGAAAAGACTTTTCTGGTTCTAATGATAGTTAAATTATCAAAATTGGCTTGGTAGATTCCAAGATATTTAGAGTTAAAGACACAAATATAAGGATCTACAAATTGATAGTTATACAAAATATTATCTCTTAAACCGTATTCCAGGCAAATTTGCTTGAAAAATTTAATTATATTTAGTATTTTTTAAATAAAATAATAATTTATTAATGATATGGGGTA